AGAATGGTTTATCCGGCGAGTCTGGAATAATTTCTGGATGAAAAAGTAATGTTCCGTTTGTTTTGAACGGCTCCGAATGAATATTGATTCCGAATGATTCGATACAATTTTCTATTTCGGTACGACATTTTCTAACAAATTCAAATTCTTCTTTTGGACAACGTTTCATTTCTTCCTTTAATGCTATAACACTTTCATTGGAAAATGATTTTTTATGAATTTGAATCATTCCATCATATAATATTGCCTGTCTTGATATAAGAATCATTGGTTCGGGCATCAGATTGATTGAAAATCGAAAACCAACAATAACTGAAAGTTTATCCTTTGGATATGGATATTCATTTTCAATAAAAAGATCGGAATCGATTAATCTTTTCTTTTTCTGTACGGAGAATAGAAAAAATTTTTGCAAATTCACACCGGCTTCAACTAATGAATTGAATTTGTCATTTTTTCTCAATGTTATTGTAAAACGATTATTATGATTGCCACGACTCCATTCAACCATTCTGTATCGTATTTGATTAACAATGATCGAATAACGTGAATAAATAAAACCATCTTCATAGTAACAACCGAACAATAAATTTTGTTTAATAAAACATTTTACAATATTAAGAATATCATTTTCACGATAAATATTTGGTATTATTTGTAAACTATATTTATAAATAATGATTGGTAAAAATGTTAAACGAAAATAATTTGATTTTACAATGAAATTTGATTCAACAACACTTTTATCATTGGATTCTTCAATATTCAATTCATTTTGAGCAGACATTTTTAATGGTTTTGATGCAACAAATCTGAATGGTTCAATCTAATGACACACACAAAGACAGTAATCGAAATCGATTTTTCTGTTTGTTTTTTGTTTAAATAATCAACAACAACGAAATCAAATACTCATCATTAAGAAAAATTATCATCTTTATTGACCGATAATTTTTGTATTGTAAGGGCGTTTTTAAGCAACAAAAATCTAATGGTGACACTAAAAGTCACAAATTCATATATGGAGACATGATGCAAATATGAGGTGTGTTTTTTTGAAATATGAACATTGAAAAATGATTTTGTTGTTGTCTGTTCAGGATGTTTAGATTTTCATTCATAACCATTCATGATTTACATATAGAATTTATATTATTAATCATCAACAGGATATTCAAGATAACCATGAATACGAACTTTACGAGAAAAATTTCCAATAATTTCTTTGAACGAATATATAGGATTAATATCATTTCGACCATTGCATCTTGTAATTGATGATTTTGCATTTTGTTCAGCCAATTCAAGTGAAAATGGTACATCATTGATATAGAAATTATCAAAATAAAAATGGCACATTGCATAACAAAGATGTTTGATTTGAATATCAGACATTCCTGAATCATCATTGATTACTGTATATTTTGTTGTTTTGTATCGCTATGAAAAAAAAATAAAGTTCAATGATTTTTGTTTTGTTTTGTTTTTTTGTTACTCACCCCACCATCAGCACCGATTTCACTACAAAGGGCAAACTCTTTTGGCGAACGATTTGAAATAGGCCGTTGAAAATTAAGATTGACACTAGTACCGATTGGAACTTTTTCGTCATCACGTTTGATGAAACGAATAGGCGAAAATTTATCTATCGAAAAGCTTGTCACTTTTATTTGTTCATCAATCAATTTAGCAGCAGATTTTAAATCTGTATATCTTTTTCCATGAAATATAATAATATTCTTGGGATATTTGCCATGTTCTTTGTGATATTCCTGTAATGAATTTCGAAACATTTCTTCAAAAAGTTGTTCATCGTTTGGTTTTATTGAAAAACGTTCGATGCAAATGTTTTGACAGAAATCCGTATCCATTGATGTTACAATTGAATGCAAAAAAATATTTTCTCGGATATTATCCAGCTTAAATTGTTTGAAAGAAGTTCCAACTATCATAGTAGATTGTGGCTCAAAAGGAAAAATAATCCAATAATTAGGATCGATTATATTTGGTTGACCACCTAGTTTCAAACATGATGTAATTGCTAAACTGTCGAAAAATTCTGGTAGATCAACAATCATATCTACTTTTTCAATTATGAATATTTGAGTGACTAGTCCATGGTTATTAGTTGTATGAGATTT